GGGTGAAACCCGCGGTGGCCGTGAGACGCATCGCCCTCACGCGCCCTATTGTTTGCAAGCTGCTTCATCTGAGGCTCTCACGGCGACCTGTGATGTGAGGCCGCGCGGTTCCTAACTGTCTCCGAATTGCACGGCATCAAAGTCCATAAGAACCTACTCTATAACTAACTCCACTGAACTGAGTCCTTCTTGAGAAGCTAGTAGTTGTCCAGCTACTCAGGAAGTTCCCTGACATTTATGGAACCAGAACCTTGACACCGTGTTCACAGAACCCTGGTTTAACTAACTCTTTCTTGAGAAGCTAATAGTTACTTAGCTTCTCAATAAATTTCCAGAATTTTATGGAACCAGGAAGTTCATTACCGTATTAACAAGAGCCCGCCACTGGTTCCTATCCCGAGTCAGATGAATCCGGTCCAGATCCTCCTATTCTATTCTTGAATGTCCATTTTAATATTATTCTCCATCGATGCCTACGTCTTCCCAGTTGTATCTTTCCTTTAGGGTTTTCTACCAAAATTCTGTAGGCTCTTCTCCGTCTTAATATAGGCATCCTTCTTGACGCAGTTAGCATGTCACTAGAAGGAGGCTGTCATGATATACTGTGATGTACTGTCCCAGGATTCCTGTGGAAGGCATGAGGAAAACAACGCGAAATAAAAGTCAGGATAGCCGTTGTTCAGAAGGATACGTGATCTAGTGACCTCCCGAACGCTACTCAGCGATGTTCAGTTGTCTTGCTGAACATTTTTGTGTATATGTCAATACACCACTTGGCTTTTCGGGTTTCCATTATTAGAAGGGATATTAGAAATTTTAGTTGTAGAGAAACAGGCTCTCACAAAATGGGATATTTATTTGTGGGCAAAGACCCCAGGGCGCGATGCTGACAAACCACAATCATATGTATAGTTCGGTGGAACTTTCTCCGCGCCCCGTAGCATGCTAGGATGTGCGAACCTGCCCACACAGGAGAATACATCAGTGTCGATCTTCTAATTCATAGACATCATATCAACTATATCGACTTAGCAGAAGTGACGGAGAAGATGGAAATAATCCTTTGCAGCGTGGTCATCAAAACGATACCACATTTAAATATTCAGTTCGTACCTCACGGGTAACACTCTCCGTCTCCATAGCAACGCCCAACCAGTTAATGCTGTTTAGGGAAATAATCGCTGTTTACTGTGAGAACCATACGGAACACACAAATACACTGTGTGGGCAGAATGCAGAGTTTTAGTGTCTTGAAGTCCGTAACTCACAGGGAACACACTCCGTCTCCATAACAACGCCCAACCGGTTAATGCTGTTTAGGGAAATAATCGCTGTTTACTGTGAGAACCATACGGAACACACAAATACACTGTGTGGGCAGAATGCAGAGTTTTAGTGTCTTGAAGTCCGTAACTCACAGGGAACACACTCCGTCTCCATAACAACGCCCAACCGGTTAATGCTGTTTAGGGAAACAATCGCTGTTTACTGTGAGAACCATACGGAACACATAAATACACTGCGTGAGCAGAATGCAGAGTTTTAGTATCTTGAAGTCCGTACCTCACAGGAAACACACCCCGTCTCCATAACAACGCCCAACCGGTTAATGCTGTTTAGGGAAATAATCGCTGTTTACTGTGAGAACCATACGAAACACATAAATACACTGAGTGGGCAGAATGCAGAGTTTTAGTATATTGAAGTCCGTACCTCAGAGGAAACACACTCCGTCTGCATAACAACGCCCAGCCGGTTAATGCTGTTTAGGGAAATAATCGCTGTTTATTATGAGAACCGTATGGAACATATAAATACACTGTGTGGACAAAACGCTGGGCTACTGAAAGTTAAATCGGTTGGTACGTAAGGTTAAGGGCAGAATAAATTCAAGAAATCTGTGTCATTATTCAGGTCAAAAGAGTCCGTGTTATGGACGGCATACAGGCTTGCAGATGAAGTGTGCCGCTCCGACACAATGGTGCCCATCTAGCAGACCTGTCAGCACGGAAGCCGTCTGCTGGTGTTGCGTCACCGTTCTACTTTTACTCTCGACTTTCCCTGATCAGAGATTTTCGAGCTGTGCCGCTTCACTTGATGCACCTTCACCGCTCCGTGCGCGCATTCCCTAACCCTGTGTATACTGGCGTAGCTACTGGGGTGGGACTGAGTCCCTTGTACTACTGTACCAGCCTCAGATGATAAGTGAGGGTGACTGTGGAGAAATTGGTGGAATGAAGATTGGCAGGGGAAACCGAAGTACTGGGAGAAAACCTGCCCCAGCAACACTTTGTCCACCACAAATCCCACTTGACCACACCCGGGATCGAACCCGGGCCGCCGCGGTGGGAAGCCAGCGACTAACCGCTTGAGCTATGGCGCGGCCTAGCGTACTAGCTTAATACTAAACGGTTCCGGGTTCGGATCCCAAAAATCGCCATTTATATCAAAATTAAGAAAAATGAAGGAAACAAGTGAATGATTATAATTGTTTATCTCCTTTCACATAACAACAAAATAGTAAAATATGTGTACACAAAGGTTACGTACGCCCTGTGTTTAATTAAGCAGCATGCCTGAAGACGTGTGGGGAAGTGGAGGTATAACTGCAATATTCTTAATCTTGGCACTATACACAGTTGGTGAGTTTCACGCCCCGACCGCTTTACTCCTGGGGGAATCAGGAAGCTGAATGGGCCCCAGAGCCGTTTTGGGCACTGCGAAGAAGTATGTTTCCGGTACCACAAACCGAACCCCGATTCTTAGGTCGTGATACCGAAGCCTAGTCGCTATACCGACTGAGCTATCCCGCCTAAGAAGGAGTTTGTGACCTAATAAAACGAATATTAAACAGGGAGACAATTCAAAGTGTTATTATGGTCTTAGAGCCGCGGTTTGCGAGAAATCGCATCAGCAGAAACCAAACCCCTTCGTGCTATGAGGGGGTGTGCAGGAGAGGGTGGAGCACGAAATCAAGAGTTAGACAAAGAAATCACATTGTAATTGTAATTTGTAATCGCGGTTAAAATAAAAATAACTGGAAAGGTTTAGAGGTCATTAATTCTCACCGACTTGCGGAACAATTTGTTATACCAAGCATAAGGAAACAGATAAATTGGGAAACCGAGGAGCAGATGGATGTGTGAATATAGAAGATGGAAATAATATGTTAATGACAAGCGATCAACTGAAGACGGGAATGCAGCCAACAGCCCAAACGTCGGGTATATAAATATACCTCAATGACCGATATATAATATTATATTTGTATAATTAGTATGTGAGTATGTTGTACAAGGATGATGCGACTTGCGGGAAGCAACATCCGTTAGAAAGAAGAAAGCAGTCTTCTGGGATTTGTCACCGTGTACATGTGGTGTTAACCGACGTTTCGGAGGAACATATCGCCTCCATCTTCAGGGTAGAAGGAAAAATATAAGAAATCCGCAGGCGAAGAGACCGTGAGAACCGGTACGTTCCTCCGAAACGTCGGTTAACACCACATATACACGGTGCCAAATCCCAGAAGACTGCTTTCTTCATAGTCACCGCCGTGAAAACTTCGAATCTTACATCCGTTAGAAAGTTCAATCGCTTGTACCAACAAGAAGTAACGGCTTGAAGCCGTTTAAAAAAAAAAGTGAAATGACTCGAACAAAACATGGTCAGCAACCTGCGCACCATCTGCAGACACTGTGACGCAACCAACATTTAAATCGGACCACATTTGCAGTCACCGTGGCGAAAAGCGGAAGCAATTACGAATAAGCCGTTGAATGGGTCTTGTCGACTGGAAGCAAAAAGCTACTTGCACTCAAACTGTGCAAAATGCAGTGCAAAAACTTCCTCGTGCCCGTGCACGTCCATCACGTAACGGCAGTTTCCGTGACCTCCCCTATACGGAATTATGGAAGGGTGTTCTAAACAGGGGGCTGAGAAGAATTAAAAAAAAAAGGTAAAACTACCCTGTAAAAGGCCGTGGAGGTCCATAGGATTGTGCGACGTCGAGGCTCCCACATTTTCTAAATAATCAGTACACACATGGCGGTGAGGTTGTCAGCCTTACGCGCCGGCCGCCCTTTACCCCCAGGGAGATTCCTGGTACTCATTTCTGTTAGAGGCTGAGTCGACCGCTGGGCCATGGTGCGGCTGGAAGGATTAGGTCAATTGAAAAATCCAATGACTTCATCGGGGATCGAACCCGTGACCTTCCGGCTTGTATCACAGTGCCTCAACCAACTACGCTACCGCGTGACACAAAGAAATGTTTAAGGAAGTCGAAATTGAATGTCGCTTTGTATAAAGTAGGCTTGGGTTTTTGAACTGTAAAAGTTCGAACCGACATATTGCCAGTTCTGCTTAGATGCGTTCGAAATCCTGTAGGGCCCCTATCAGGATCGCTCAGTCGCCCGATAGAGGGATTTTCATGAAATTTCGTGTTCAAGAATTTTGCGAAACGCTGTCCTGTCGTATTTGTTTTTATTTATATCAGACAACAACAACGGACACTTCTCATAAAGACCTGCGTGTCTTTCTGTGTGTGTCTCAGGTGTAACTAGCTAAATGTTTACCGAAACCCGTTAAGACTTAAAGGAAAAACATATTGAACATAAAATGCGTTTCGTTTTTCTCTACGGCTTTTATTTTAATCAGTTTTGCTCCGATAAATTTTTAGCAACGCACGCTCGGGGTGTGCGCAGAGACCCCCTTCATCTGAAGTGTCCGGTATTGTCCGATTGTAACCAGATTCAACTTCCCTTTACGCTACTTGAAAAGATTCAACCCTGACATGATGTCATACTCCATGCTCCACAATCTCTACAGCGCCCCTTTATGGGGTGCATGAACCACAAATACCGGAAGGGGGGAAGCCAGTAATCAACCCCCACTCTTGGAATTTTTAAACAGAAGGAACTCTACCAAATATTCAAACCAAAAATGGAAACTTACGGCGACTGATAAAATTAGGCTTGAACAAAGCTTGTAAGCAAATTTCCTGGTAGCCCCCACTCGGAAAACCGCGACAGAGCCTGCGATGAAGCCACGGGTCCGATTGTTTCAGGACTGCAAGATGCCACAATGGGTGTGCGGGCCAGACAAGTACGTGTGCACCCTCCCCCGGGACACACAGATCGTGGCCTACAAGGAACTGCGCGAGACCGAACACACCAGGGACGAGGCCCTCCAGCAGATGAGGGACTGGATCATGAAGAACCCTAGGATTGTGAATTGCCGTCTTGGTGAGTACAAACCAGTGGTGCCGTGGTTGATGCACGGCGTCAGCTCTTCTAGTTTTTGTGCCTACGGTTATTAATGGTTAGGCCCACTCAAGAGTCCTGTACTACAAATGACTGGCACAATATTCATAATAGCCTTGAAATTTTATTTGGGATGGACAAAGAAAAACAATGTCTTCCCTTAAAATAGGGAAATCGAGATCAGAGAGTGTGACAAGGGCTACTTCAAGCAACACACTGAATCTGCAGAACTGTCTTGCTACAGTGTTACCAACATATTTCAAAATGCAGTATGTCTTCAGCTTCTTAAAAACTTCAAATTTAATTTCAGATGGTCGTTTCCTCCTGCGATTCCTGCGGACAAAGAAGTTCAGTACAGTGCAGGCACAAGAGGCTCTGGAGCGGTATCTCCTTCTGCGGCAGGCCTTTGCACCGGCCTTCAGGAACCTCGACTACACAGACCACACCATGAATGAGCTTATTTCTAACGGGTACATCCTCACTATGTTGCAAAATGTCAACTTAATAAGCTGACACACTCTTAATAATATATATATAAATTGTACAACCAGGTGAGCATTCACCTGAAAAGTCTATGTAGCTCTCCATGCAAAATGGTAATTGTGAGTGACATATCTTCTTGTTCTTCCCACCTCGGCGGCCCGGGTTCGATCCCTGGACTGGTCAAGTGGGATTTGTGGTGGACAAAGCGGCGCTGGGGCAGGTTTTCTCCGAGTACTTCGGTTTCCCCTGCCAATCTTCATTCCACCAAATTCTCCATCATAATCATCCAGGGGCAGGCTACAATAGGCCAATCAGTGGCCGCCGTGCCGAATGGACCCAGTTGGACTCCAGTCCCCACTAAGCGAATTATCTTCTTGTTCAACTAAGTTCAAAATCTATTTACTGGGAGCATCATCAACAATATAACAATTGGACACATACAAACACAACTTCCCATAGAGTGCTCTTACACTTTATTCCTAACCCTTCAAAGCCGAGAAGTTATTGTATATGCCTCATGCTTTAAAATTCAAGAAGTTCCGCATTCTGTCCAGCGAGTGCCTTTGTTCTGTACAACTCTCAGAATGGGCAGCAACTGTTTCCATAAACAGCATTCATTGGTTTGGCTTTGTAGTCGGTATGCAATGTATTGCTGGAACAAATTTGTAAATACTAATTTGATGTCTGAACTTCAAGTATTGAAAGCTTTGTGATCATAAGAGCATTGCCTAGCAACTTCACTGAGCATATTTCATTCAACTAAGCATACCTGTCCACCGAAGCAGTGATCCAAAACACTGCACAAACCCAAATACCAATGAAAACAGAAGCACAGACTGGAAAGGGATATATAACATAACTCAGGACATGTCAGATGATGAGGTCCAGGAATAACCATTAATTTATTGTTATAGTTACCTGTTCCCTGTGCCCAAGAGAGATCACCTTGGACGTCGACTTGTTATAGGCATTGGATGTAAGTATCAGTTTGAACACAACCCGGGGGAAGTATCAGCATGTCCCACTACTGTGACACTGCATGCCTGGCTCCAGCTGGCCTAGCGTCACACTGTCACCAGGCACATACGAGCTGTATTCTGCATATCATTATGGGATTTAAATGCCATAAACATGGATAAGAATGAAACTGGGAGAATAAAAAGCTAAGCTTAGTCACTTGTCACATTATCAGTTAGAAAAACTGTATGACCCATTTGAAAATTGGCGTAACACAATATTTCATAACAAATGGCAGTGCAGTTACAGCAAATCTGGCAAGGTAAAGCTGTCCCTGTGCTTAATGAATTAAGCACTACACCGCGAAGGCGTATGGGGGAGTGGATGTATAGATGCACGTTTTCTTGACCTAGGCACTATTTGGAGGTGAGTGGTCAGCTTCACGCCCCGGTCACTTCACCCCCGGTACCCACTGGATAGGAGGTTGGACGGACCCCAGAGCCAGTCTGGATGACATGGAGAAGAGATAATTCTTGACCCTACTGGGACCAAAACTCTGGCCCCTCAGTTGCTATACCACCTTTGCTATCATAGCAAATGAGGTGCATTAGCTAAATTTGCAAAACATAAATACACATGACAATATTTGCTGCATCATTATCAGCCTTCCGTATTTTGTTTTATTGCTAGTGGGGGGGGACTATGTCCCTTGTACTGCGGCCACTTCTGGCCTATTGTACCAGCCCCAGATGATAGGTGAGGGTGATTGTGGAGCAATTGGTGGAATGAAGATTGGCAGGGGAAACCGAAGTACTCGGAGAAAACCTGCCCCAGCAACACTTTGTCCACCACAAATCCCACTTGACCAGACCTGGGATCGAACCCGGGCCACCGCAGTGGGAAGCCAGCAACTAACCATTTGAGCTATGGCGCTGCCTATCAGTCTTCCGTAACTTTCAGTCTCTAGTCATTACAATAGTGTCCTCTCGTACTTCTTGCCTTGCCATCGGGGTTGCCTTTCCGCACTATGTCCCTAGGGTCAAATGAGCCTGTAACAGAAATCAGTACAAGAGATCTTGCTGTGGGGTAAAGGTCAGAGGGTGCATAAGGCTGGCAATCTCACCACCATCTGTGAGCCGATTGTCTAGAAAATGTGGGAGCCTCAACCTCTCACAAGCCTATGGGCCTACATGGCCTGTGACAGGGATAGCTTCACCATGAAAGGATAAGAATATTTTACATTTTTTGTTATCTAACTTGGCACTGTGCTCTCCTGTAGCTGCATTTGACCCCTACAAATACACGAACGCAGATATCCTGCGAATACATGGCATCACGTACGAGACCCTGATGGAGGATGAAATGAACCAAGTGCATGGCTACGTACACTTCGCGGATGGGGCAGGAGTGGGGCTTCATTACCTAACTCTTTTCACACCTAAAGAAGCTGTGAGGATTGTAAAGAACGGAGAGGTGAGTTCCCACACCAAAACTTAGTAATAGTTTTCATAGTAGTCTTTTCTTATAACATTTTAAAGAATTTATGTAAATCAATGTTCCCACTGTCATTCACTTTTTTGAATGACAAAGGATTTTTTTTTCTGGTATTGAGCAGCTCATACAATTTATCTTGAGGCTTTGGAGTGCAGACTCAGTAATCAGACTAGCAAGTACTGCTGCTACATTTTCATACAGTACCTGCCCTGTACCAATACACCCTTAAACCAATTATATCTGAACTCTTGTTTTCCCTCAGCGAACAGTGCCAATGCGTCACAAGGAGGGGCATGGCATTAATGCTCCCCCCACCCTCAAGTTTGCCATCGATTTTGGTTTTTCACTCATCCCGGAGAAGTATAGGAAACGCATCAAGGTAATCCATTTTCTTATAATATTAACTGATATCAAAGGAGAAGAGGGGTATGCGGTAGCGTAGTTCATTGAGATACCATGCTACTAGCTGGAAGGTTGCGGGATTGAATCCCGATAAGGTGGATTTTTCTTTCAATTGACCTAACACTTCCAGCTGCACTATGGCCCTGGGGTCGACTCAGCCTCTTAACAGAAATGAGTAACAGGAATCTTCCTGAGGGTAAAGGACAGCCGGCACTTAAGGCTGACAACCTCACTGCCATCTGTGAGCCGATTGTCGAGATAATGTGGGAACCTCAACATCTCACAACCCTATGGGCCTCCATGGCCTCTTACAGGGATACCTTTACTTACTTACTTTACAAAGGAGAAGGTATGTATAATTACCACAAAGCAGGGGCATGTGATTTAATGGCAAGGAAATTCAACATAAATTATAAGTTTCGATTTCTAACTTTGCAACACAAGCTGCCACCGGATTCTGCAATACATAAACAGAAGTCCCCTTAATGCATAGAAGAGCTATCTAAACACAACATACTGCACGTACTTCCAGTCTGGAATGTTAATTTTCAGCACATTCGAAACCTCTCAATTTTGTTACGTGCAAGCATAATGATGGCTAGGGCCGTGCCATAGCTCAAGCGGTTAGTCGCTGGCTTCCCGGTCCGGGTTCGATCCCGGGTCTGGTCAAGTGGGATTTGTGGTGGACAAAGTGGCGCTGGGCCAGGTTTTCTCCGAGTACTTCGGTTTCCCCTGCCAATCTTCATTCCACCAATTGCTCCACAATCACCCTCACCTATCATCGGGGACTGGTACAATAGGCCAGAAGTGGCCGCAGTACAAGGGACTTAGTCCCACCCCACTAGCAACAAAAAAATGATCACTGAGAATGGTCTGAATGCAAGTCTTGTGGCTACTGTGGTTCTACTGCAGAACATTATCCATGCTTCCTTTCACCTGTAGGTCCACACCTGCATAGAAGATGCTCTCAAGTATCTCGACCCCAAAATTATGCCAAAGGAGTACGGAGGTGTCATGCCCATGGCTGAGATGATAGGTAAGATTGTTTGTTAATTAACACTGATTCATTAATGCTTCCATTTAAGATTCTGGCCCAGGGGTACAGTGGCGTGGGGGCCAGGTGTCTGCCCCCGCCCAAATTTTTTGGATAAGAATGGAAACTGAAGAAAGAATAAATATACTGAACATTAATACAAATAATTAAAATTATTTGTAAATGTGCCTTCGGTAATAGTAGGAGAGGGCAAACAGGCATGTCCCCCCTTCAGGCTTTTTGGAAAAGAAATCGAAATCAAAGAAAAAAAATGGATATGTTCCAAATATTATACCAAAAATTAAAAAGAAAAGAAATGTATTCTTTTATCCTGGATATGGTAGGCCGATCAGTAAAATTAGTCTCAGATGCCTTAAACGTAAATTTATAACAAAATTTTCAGGCTGCCCCTTTTCAAAATATCCTAGTTGCAGTCTCTGACCAGACACACTACGTCATGAAGACCTACATAGTCTCTGTGTTGTAAATGAAACAGCTATGACTATAACCTTTACTCAAACCTTTTGTATTTCCCGCCACACAATAATAATAATAATAATAATAATCCTATATTAACCTCATGAGTGTGGGGAGATTATAATGGTCCCTCAACTCAGACCACTGCTAGTTAGTTAACCTTCAGGTTCCATAAAATGTTGGGAAATTCTTGAGTAGTGGCACAACTCGTTGCTTCTCAAGAAGGGCTCATCTCCATGGAGTTACGTCTCTTGGAGTACGAGTCTGACGAAGAGTGACGACTCTTACACTCACTGAAATAGGGTGATCACAAGGTCTCAAGTTACATTCATGTGGAGAGCTGATGCTGCCCCTCTTCTTGCTAGTCCGCAAGCTTAGCTTCGCCACCACAGACCTCTGGATCACTGGGTACTGGGCCCTCCCACCACAACAAGGTGTCAAACATCAGGACGGTTAATAATACAGGAAAGGTTCAACTACAAGTTTCAGGCCCATATACAGAACACAAAACAAACAAGCAGCACAGCATTGCTACTGCACTGACACTATTACTAAATTGTACAGAATTCATGAATCCTCGATGTACTTCTCCCCAGTAACAAAGTGGGTTCCTTATTATACTTACTGCAGCCGGACTACCGTATTTACACATGTATAGGCCGTGTGCGTGTATAGGCCGCAGCACAATTTTCAGACAGAAATTATAGAAAAAATAATTTTCTTGGAATATTATTTCAGGAGCAATTATTCCGAAATTTGGCAACGTTTAATTTTTTTTAAATGAAGTGTGATTTCGAATATAAGCCGCACCCGTTTTCCTCTTGAATTTTTGGCAAAAAATGTGCGGCCTATACATGCGTAAATATGGTATATACCAGCGAAAAGCAGCATGACAGATGATCTCAAAGGATCTGATCATGGACTAATAAAGGTGCAATCCTGTCATATGCCTGGAATGACTGAAGAAAACCAGAGATATCAGTCAGGATAGCTGGTGTCCCCTCGGAGATTCAAACTGAGCACCTTTGAACCGGACTACCAGCAACACTCCCTAGAAGAGAGTACCCGTTTACTGTTACAGCTATGAGAACCTCAACAAACCCAAGACGGGTTTGCCAGCTAGATCCGTAATGTCCGCTGAACTACATGACTGGTTCCATATTTAATTCTTTCAATATGTCTACATTCCTGCTGTAGCAGAGTCACTGGTGTCACAGTCTAACCTGACTTCTTGCTTTCCATGACTGCGGCTCTACAGCCCTGTGGAAGCAGGAACTGCAGGCAGCGAGAGGCATACTGCTGTCGCATGACAAAATGGAGGTGTGTCTGGACATGTACAGTGCGAAGGCGCGGGAGGGAGCGGTATCGGCTCTGAAGGAAGGTTTCACTTGCAAGAAGGGCAGTGAAATGATGGGAATCTCGGGGAGCTTCCGTAAGCTGGAGGTTGACTAAAATCACCAGCAAACTGACTGACAAAATTATGTCGGTATCATCACCATGCGCTTCTTCAGGAGAAATCGTCGTGCATCCACATGATCAATATGCCAGCAAGTGAAGAGCAGTGACTGCCGTCAACCTCAGAATTTGAAAGCCTGCTACTAATTCTTAGGTTCAGCCTCCGAATTTGGCCGCATCATATGTTGAAGCTGTTCCAGTACAACTGGCATCACTGCCTCTGCAGTTAATGCAAGGAGCAAGGAGGCCGCAGACTAACACATCAGTCTCAGAGCAGAGAACAGTTAGCCCTGTTCAGCAGACAGGTCTTGCAGGCTGCTCCTGTCAGTTTCAATACATGTGGCAGAACTCAGGGCCTGAATTACACATGGGTCAATATGCTCACAAGTGATCATAGCGTAATGTCAGATGGCAGTGCTCCTAAGATGACAGGGTTGACATGAATGCACTGTTAAGCACCATGCATATGGAGTTGCAACAAAATATATCAAATCCAAGCTCATGTATTACATCTAACATGTCTTTTTATCATCTCCTATAATATGTTGAACAATTCATACTAAGTTCAGTATACGGCTGTATTCATACACTTAACTTCCCATATAACCCTCTCGCAGCTGTGAGTTTGTATGGTGTGGCAACACTGTCAGGTCAGGTAGTTTTGAAGCATTAAAAAGAATGACTTCTGAACGGATCTGGTGGTGCTTCATTACATGCAGTTCTAAGGGATGGCATGTTTAACTTTGAGTTTACCTTTTCAATACAGTAAAGAGAGGGGTGGGAAATTGTGACATGACCTGACAGCAGTGCAGAGCGAAGGCACAATATTCGTGTTCGGTCCCTACGAGTGTTGCCAGTTTTAACAAATGAGCTGATTCATAATTAAATTACGTGAACTAGTGAAGCACATGAAACAGAGGAGTGAGCGGCAGCTGAACTTACTGGTTCCATGTTACAAATTAAGATTCCACTTCAGTTTGTGTCTATCGTTGTTCACTTTTATAAGAGACTTCCTTACTTAGTTTTGTTACTTTGGATATTACGCATCATCCAGGTTCTATACTTAACCTGCAACGTTTTTAAGCTGGTTCTGCTTCCGCCTTCAGGCGAAGGAGGTAGTCTCAGCTGCTGGGCTGGGTTATTCCAATGAAGCCATCAGTTTTAGTGATATCATGTATTTTATAAATGTTAGGTTATGAGAAAATAAATAATATTGCAATTTTACAGTAGACTGTGATTACACATGTAATGAAATAAACACACAACAATGAAATGCTCATGTCCTGAAGATGGAGGAAGAAGGTTCCTCCAAAATGTTGGCACCCTTCTACCACAACATAGTCCTCAATCCCAGAACATAGCTATCTGCACATTCGCCATGATGGGAACTCCAAAGCTCACACACACAGCACAGTAAAGTCTATGGTTTGCATTCCTCATGGTAAGGTTCCAGCGTCCTGAGGTCTCGCCAAGTGGGTGGCAGTGAACTGTTGAGGTGGTTCCCACAGCGCTTGCAGGGGTCGCTGAACAATGTGATGTAACTGTGAAACCAAGTCTAAAAATTTCAAACATACACAATGAATTAGTACTCAGAAACAGTTCACTTCTTCAGTCTTGTACCTGAATAAGATCTCTAAGTTTGTGATGATCATACATCAGTACAAATATTGTGTTTCTGGACATTATCCATTGTCTTGTCTTTGTCTAAAACCTGCCCTCTTTATTTTTCAAGACACAACGTTTCAGAGACTAGATTCTGTCTCCGTCTTCAGGTAAAACCTATTCAGTTGGGTCCAACAGATAGAGCTAGCCACTATCTTCAGACTAGCTCTATCAATTGGGCCCAACTGAGTAGGTTTTACCTAAAGACCGAGACAGAATCCAGTCTCCAAAATGCTGTGTTTTGAAAAATAAATAGGATTGTTTATAGATAAAGCCAAGAAGATGGATAATGTCCAAAATCATAATATTTGTACTTGTGCCTGAACCTGTCCAGCCTCATAAAATCCACCAATGGGTCCTATTCTGATCCAAATCAATCCAAATTCCACAAACAATCAATTATGCAAATATGTTTCTTAATGTTATCCAAGTTGACGCCTTGCATGAGGTTCACACTCCTGTTCACTGTACAAAGCTGTGAGGCTCTTCGAACCCACAGCAACCTGCTCCTTCGCATGAGCTTTCTCATCTAAATGTTGGATCCCTTTCTGCTTTCCCTTGTCTATACTACACGCAAAGCCGTGTACACCTTTCTCAATTCTACTACTGCAACAATAGTATAAATCACAAAGTTATCTTTTCATTTTCCCACTGAATCCACCCCTCCAATAATAAGGCCACAGAAAGTTGTCCCATGGAGAGAGGGGTCATGGGACTTGACCCTTCCCACTCTCAACAAGAAGTGAAACACAGCCACATACTTTTCCTCAAGTTTTGTGGCTTTTGAAGGGAGTAATGAGTTGTGCAGTTTGAGATACTGACACTGTTGCAAAATGAACCAAAGAGAAAATGGGAGTAAAGGCATGAGGATTTTTACACTGTGTAAATTTCCTAACTCAGTTTCCTTTGCCAAAAAGTGGGAGATTGTAATCTGAAATAAGAGAAAAGTAAACACTGAATGCTGAGATGAACACAATAATGAAATGATCTTGTGTGCATGGCCTTACATGGCCGTGGCCTGAGCACCCTGACCTAAAACAACTACAAATACATGCTTCAAACCATCTACATCTTACCATGAAGGAGCGTACGGCCAGCTCAGGCAGTGTGGGTGACGAGAAGTGTAGCATAGCTGCATGAGAATTTTCAGTCACTTTTCGAAACACTTTATGCCGCGACTCAGTCCACAGGTCTAAAGTCTCACCATGACCCTTCACTACCACCCACTCTATCATCAAGCCCTTGAAGGCTATTACGGCCTTCAGGATGCGTCCTAAAGAGACCTGCAAACACATATACACACTAAAGCCACTGGATTCACTTCAGCACTTTGCAACAGATTCATGGCTTAACTCTTCAAACACTTGACAGTATACTGTGGCCACAACAAGAAATCCCAGAGATCAACCCCTACACATCACCCTCATGCTGTTATGATTCCAATGTGCTTCCCTATATTTAGGATTCTGTTCGTGAGACAAGCATGTGCTATGGGTCGGCTATCACATGTCAGAGGAGTCCAGAGGGAAGTCAAAAACGGAATTCTTCAACATGGTCACCTGCACCATCTATAGGAAAAGAGGAGTTCTAGCTTCTGGGATATAACTCCATGTGGTCCAGTAAATGCCAAGAGCACGTCCAACGTGAGTGGCCGTTGCATCTGCACCATCTACAGGAAATGAGGACTTCTGGCTTCTGGGATATAACTCCATGTGGTCCAGTAATGCCAAGAGCACCACTGTGACAACCTCACGTCCAACGTGCATTGGACTTGCATCTGCAGTCTCTGTATAGCTTAACCGTTCAGTGACATGTTCATGTTCTCTGCAACATTAAATCTTAATACAAGCAAGACTGTAGTCTCCTGCACAAAAGGCAGAGACAGTAGAGGAAAATTAATAGTTTCATTTCTTTGTACATATCAGCAGCTGATGTCTTTCAGTACAGAGTAATAAGGAGACTTCCTTACCTGTAGCAGAGCGTTCGTTGCAAATGGCCGGGTGATGGTAACAGTCATGTCATTAAACAAACGGTCAATAGTGTTGATAACCGTATCCACAGTCCTGAAATTAAAACGGAAGTAGCATTCTACACTGAAAATGAATACCAATTTAGCATCAATACAACCAGATACTGCACTAGCCTCAGAAATGAGTACTGGACTCATGGCAGTGACACAAACAGTATACATGTGAACAAAACTCTCACATAAATTTAATGAATGGATGGAGTCCCACCTCACTGCACCAACACTACTGCATGATGTGTTTAACACAGAACTCTGACATTTTTCTGTCCTTTACTATGAGAAAAAACCTGTGCACACGCTTTCTCATATATACCTGAATGGACCACAGCTCTCAACTGCCCTAAGACAAATATTTTATAAAAAGTACCTATTTTAAGTACTATTTTGGTCCACTGCCTCTACAGGTGATCAATCAGAGCTTCATAAGAACTGGTCAAGCCATTCTTTTAATGCGCATTTCACGTTTATGTCACTAGGGCATGTACCATTACTTTCCTGATGACACTATCTATGTTGAAATTTAATCAAAACTGTTAGAACCTCTTTCTTTTGAGAAAAATGCAATTTTATGGCTGGGGATCCCAATGAAGAGTTCCTATTTTTAGAGCCAGACTGTTCATGTTCATCTGGAACTGACTTATGCTGCGTAAGTCTTGAATAAGGACACAGCGTGGCTACCTGTTCAGGTGCCAACGCAGCACAGATCCATCCATACAGATAGGCAGTAGATACCATTCCAAAACCCACATTTCACAACAAGGAGTGCTTGAAACATGTCAATCTGTCAGAATCTCAAGATTTAGTTTCCTTCACAGTCACAACACATTCTCACATGAGAAAATAAAAATGAGAGATACATTCATGGTTTATGTACTGCGAACTTCCAGTCCTCCCGCTCTCCTGTCCCATACCCACAACAATGCTCGTACCAGTCCTGATCATATGCACGGCATACTGCGGTAGCGTAGTTGGTTGAGGGGCTATGCTACAAGCCAGAAGGTTGCAGGTTCAAGTCCGGATGAGGTCATTGGATTTTTTCAATTGACCTAATCCTTCCAGCTGCACTATAGCCCTGGGATCGACTCAGCCTCTAACAGAAATGAGTACCAGGAATTAATTAAATAATTTTCCTGGGGAGTAAAGCGCGGCCGGTGCGTAAGGCTGACAACCTTACCGCCATCTTTGAGCCGATTGTCTAGATAGTGTGGGAGCCTCAACGTCTCACAACCCTATGGGCCTTCACGGCCTGGTACAGGGATAGCTTTACTTTTTACTTACTGCTTCTATACATAAATTATGCTGACACGTACTGTGCAGGAACATTGTGACTGCTTGTCTGCGTGCGGCGACGTTTGGCAGTACTGGAATTGATGTATGACCGCTTCAGGGAGTTCTGACTGAGCAGAGTCGCTGCCAGGCTGCTATATTCATGCACCTGCAGAGAAAATAGTTAACATCCATAAAGGGCAACATATAATAGGATGATGCACAGATTTAATGACTGTGTACCAAATGCTGTGGATAGTCAGTACCAAATGGTATGAATGGATGACACCATATGATGAACATCAAACAGCTCTGAAGGAAGTGGCTGGGGTCTATTTCATGGTACAATTCCATTGAGGAAGAATACGAAAACGCAGTAAAGTTTGTGTCCTACCAAGATTCAAATGAAGCGCCTCCCCAGTACAAGTCAGAAATGTTACAAATTGAGCCAGATGCAGCTAATTTTTCAATCAACACATCAGTTTTAACAATCTGAATCACTGCACGCAGAGTCACGCACCTTGTCGGTCCACTTGTAGCTATGCACTAGCTGGGAATACAGGGCCTGCCTATCCTGTGTACTCTCTTGACTCAGGTATGCAGTGTTCCCCAGGTTAAATGGACCAGGAGGTGCCGAGAGGCTGTTAACCGCTTGCTCAACATCTCTGCAATTGGTAATGCTTAAAATTACACAATCAGTTATAACAAGAGGATGCTTTATCCCCACTGCTTTTAATACTGAACCAACTGAACCAGTGAGGCAGGTTCTGCTTGGCCTGCCACAATCACATCCTCCTCATTTATATATGCCAGATTTCTGTTTACAAGGAATTCAGAAAGAGACTGCACTACCACGAAGAATGCCTTATGAGGGGAGTTCACATGAAACCTATACACGATGCTACTAGCCCTGCAAAATCAATGCATCAGTTACACTTGAACAGGCTTCATATTTGGAATATTCTCTGCTTGTTATACAGATGCAAGCTTCTTTTATAATTGTGTTATTCCACTATTAGAAAATAGCTTTGTAATTCTTAAGGAGACTATAAAAACAGGCCACAAAGAGGGAAGCTTCGTTCTGCACTGAAAATGGCTTCAGTAAATTCTAAAGAAATCATGAAAGGATTGAACCTGAAAGATGGTATATGATCATGTTATACATACATAAGTACCACACAGAAATTCTTTCAGTCTTGTAAAGAAAGTGGTACATATGCAAATTTTGGTAAATACAACACAGGTGTCACATAATAAAAATAGGTGACAAAATAACAATGCATTGCCTACAGGTGACTAAGAATATGAATATATTTAACTGGGAACAGCAATAGAAATAATTTAACCTAAACCAGGTTTAAGGTTCTCACAGTGGAGACTATGGGGCGTGACGGAGTGGGGTCATGCTACTGATGCGTATTGTACGCGATAAAATTATAGTTATAATGTAATTTCCTAACCGCAGATTAATATTCACGGTGCTAAGCAACTCCTGCAACTCGTACAAGAACTTCGCGTCCTTTCCATCTTCCCCATGGTCAGCTCTCAGTCCGTTCCCGAGCGTATCAAAAACTTGACCAACACTAGATCGCAAAACCTTCACAGAATTCAGAGCTGTACACAATGCTGCCTCCATTCCTAACGGGGTTCTGCAAAATGACCACTTCTCTAAAATTAAGTTTTAACTTGCGACGTTACACACTCTCACAACACATTATTCACATTTCGATTCGAGTATATCGAAAACAATCGAAACCTATTGCGTCTAGCACCAATACAGCCAACACAGCGTAGTGGAATAACATCGCGTTCACGGAAGGCGGGCCTATAACATTCAGGAATTCAGGCAGATTCACATGCAACTATCATATTTCCTCTTATGAAATTGTGAAATCATCCTAAACACATTTCTTGCACAAGTCACAATGCTCTTATGACCTACAAATAAGCCCATTGAGTTTTGTAACATGCTTAACCAAGAGGGTTCACAATATTACTTCTTTTAAAGGTCCCTTCAGAATTGTCGTCTTATGTTTGCTTAATCTCCCAAGTTCTTCCCTTCAAGGTTATTAACTGAAATTCTGAATGTTTTCACCGATCCCACGTATGTGGGCCACCCTCCTTAATTTGATCACACTCCCTGAGAAGTATAAATTATATGGCTGGAAGATGCCAATATATTCTGAACTAAATGATAGAAATTATTCCTTGAATTTAATCTGCTCTTAATTTATTTGTGAATGTAATTCTGATGTGTTACTACTGTCGCCAGATGTCTCTGAATTTTGCTAAATTTCAAAAGATTTCTTATCTAGGGTTCACAGGGCATAAATATACAACAGAAAACAGGCTGCTGACACATTCATATAGCTTTCATGCATATGCTAAAATCACAAAGATTTTTGTACATATTTATACAATAGCTAAATCATCCATCCTTAGCCTGTTATCTTAAAATGAAATTTACTAACTGCAGATGTCAGCAACATACATCACCTCTTCCCTCCTCGCTATGCTATAAATGAACATATGTCGTCAACAAGATGCAAAGCAACAGTTGCCTTACTTTGGTTTTGACACTACATGACAGAACATCATACACATAGAAAGAAAATTGCATATTATTTTTAATGACTGAAAACATTAAAATTCTGATTTCTTACAACATTCTTCATATAAAATATTTGTACGTTTCAACCTGAGATATATACAGTGAACGCAAACTGATTTATGAGTCCATAAAAATTGATGGGTTGTAATGAAAAACATAACCCTCATTAGTCTCTCCCAAAATGACACAATTAATATGCACATCTATTAAAAATCACATCACATATTACACAAGCCCAAGCCCACCACTGTCATGCTTCTCATTCACTTTCATTTATCTTCTCTGAGGTTTCTGTCTTGTCTTTACATGCCATTCAACTGAATCCATTTCATTTTGCTCTCTTTCCCTCCCTAAAGCCTTGCTTTTTCCTTGCTTTCTCCCTGGTCTCCTTTTGGCTATGTCTGTTTTGCTGTACTTCTTACTTTTCTTGCACTATCTTTGCTTCTTCCTTGGTCTTTATGGCACCATGTCACCTTTCTACCATCTTTACCTTCTCATCAACTTTCACCTGATTAAGCCTCTTTTGCCGTGCTTCCTTTTTCTTCTGTAGCATCCTCACTTTCTCCTCACTTGTCATTTGGCTATATTTGTTTCTTTTTTGCATCTCTGTTCTTCTTCATAATCCTCGCCTTCTCCTCATCTGACACTTGGCTATATCGGTTTCTCTTAGCATCTCTGTTCTTCTGCAGAATCCTCTCTTTCTCTTCACGTGTCATTTCTCTGTGTTTGTGTCTTTTAGCATCTCTCTTCTTCTGTAGCATCCTTGCTTTCTCCTCATCTGCCATTTCTCTGTATCTGTTCCTTTCAGAATCTCTCTTCTTCTGCAGCTTCCTCGCTTTTCCTTCACAAATTCTCCTTTGCTGTTCTTCCTTCTTGTGTAGACATGCATCAGTCTTTCTATAATTTCAATGCATTTATTACTACTTATGTCAATAATATGGACATTTATTTCTGTAAACTTTTCCATGCTCACATTATCACGTTCTTGAAAATCATGCCCAGCATCTGTAACAACAATGTAAGTAAAATGCGGTTTTTATCAGAAGCAATATCTGTTGATACCTATTTTCCAAACGAGTACATACTGTGACATTAGAACCCTCACTTAAAGCTCTGATTTCAACGTGTACATCATAAAACCCAACCACATAATGCATAGTATTCACCATCACAGAAATATTGTCTGAATTCATTTCAGCTCATTCAACGCTGGACTGCATTTTGTTTTTACGTTTACATTTACATTTATTTTCACTTCACGGATCCAATCATCTCACCGTAGGGCTAGATATAAAACATGTCACACATTAATATAATATCGTTGTTTACTTGATTTCTTAGTAAAAACAAAATCAGTTACTTTGGAAGTACACAACAGGATGTGATGTCACACAACTTTAACAAACTTCATGCAAAACATAAATAATACCAGGGCACCTTAACCTGCTCATTATGACATGAAAATCAGTCCACTGCAAGAAACAGTTATTTTGAAAGCATATACAAAGGGCAATTTTGGCCTTCCATAAGATAATGAAACTTTACCACGTTTTGGTTCACATGAATACCACATCACAGAGGAATTCCATCAATTAATATTCCATATATTGTTCAAAAAAGGAAATTGAAATTCTTAATTGTGGATTCAGAATTGGGTAAGGTATCAAATTAAGTTTGCTGTAGCCTATTTCAAGGCGCTATCCCAACATCTGCTGAAGAAATTAATGAAAATTTAAAAATTGCTTAGTCAGCATAAATGGTTTCCAGATCAAGTTTCACACCCAGGACACAACACATACAAAGCTGAATTGTTAAGCACTCAACTGCAATATTTGGCTTGCAACATGAAAACCAAGAACTACCCTGAGTCTCGGCAGAGACTTAGGCTTGCATCTCTAGTGGTCATGTTCCTGCCAGCTCCCAGCCAAGCAGAACTGCATGAACTGTGGAACATCTCCTGGAGAGGAAAGATGTGATCCAGCCAAGAGGCCAACTTGCCCCTCAATTTTAAATTCTATAAAGAAGTTGCCCTCACGTAACTCTCTAATTGCTTCACACTAATTCAGCTGGAATGCACTGCCGTGCATTCTTACGAGCACTAAGACATGTCAAACACTATAGTTCTAATGTTTGGAAAGTGCTTTCGGTGGTTCACAGAGCTCTTCTGTAGGCTACAAGAGCAACACACCAGACAGCTTCGTTCACCTGTAATCACAGTACATAAATATGATTTGTCATGTTCACAAATAATGAGCGCATTGTTGTGAACAGCAGAACTGTCTCCAGTCACCCTGTACAGTTGCATTATAAGTCAAGCCACCTGTTACACATGTGCGCGCTACTGTCACATCTATCTCGTTCCACTTCCTTATCTCTCCTCTATCCTCAACAGATGAATGCTTTGTCATTCCTAGAGTCAGTACTGTCTTTTCACACATCATTAGACAGTATCTATTTCATTTACCATCTCTTCAATTTTCCAGCATCCTCGCCTTCTCCGTCTGACCAAGTCTGTTCCACGCTGCCTTTCTCCATTCTCCTAACATCTACATTTATTCTCTGTAATTCTCCAGAAACTTCACAACTTCCTCTCCCGCCTTTTGCCTGTATCTGTTCCTATTTGCATCTCTCTTTTTCTTCAGAATGTTTGCTCTCTCCTCGCCCGACATTCGCCAGTATCTATCTCTTGCAGCATCTCTCTTCTTCTGCAGAAACATCTCCTTTTCATCCCCAGACATTTGTCTATACCTGTTTCTTTTAGCATCTCTGTATTTCTGCAGCTTCCTCGCTTTCTCCTCATTAAGCAGCCCGGCACCAGTGCTACTATCGATTTCCGAGCATTTATCTTCATTTGTATGAATTACCTGAGGGTTTATCTCTGAGAACTGAACTCCTACACTCACGTTACCTCTTCCTTGTAAAACACTGTAATGTCCAGCATCTGTAACATCAACATAAAGCAATTGTGTATTTCAAGAGTACAGCCTTCTGCATTGCACTGTAGTACACAGACAGCCCAAAGTTTTTTTTTTTTCCTTGGCACAAAGCCCCAGTGGACCTAGGCCTACTTCCATGAACTTCTGCGTTCACTTCGGTTTTTCTAGATCTTACACATTCGGTACGACTCCTTGGGCGGGTGATCAGCTCATCGCAAGGCCTCTGCCTGTACACAAACACAGAAAAATGGACACATACAAACTAAACATCCATGACCTGAGTGGGATTCAAACCCACAATCCCGGTTTCCAAGCGAGCGAAGACAGTATAAGCCTTAGACCGCTCAGCTACCGTGACCGGCAGCCCAAAGCTTTGGAGGAACATATTACCTCTGTCTTCAGGTTCAGAGAATATGCCGAGCATGAAACCAGCAGAAGCAGGTGGCAAGCTGAGCTGAGCTGGTTTCTTGCTTGGTTTAGTCTTCAATCCTGAAGATGGAAGCGATATGTTCATCCAAAACTTTGGACTTTCTCTGAACCACAGAGTTACAACCCAGACAGATGTGCTCTTCATAAACACGGCTGTGAACACCGCAAACCCAAGAATATATTTCTTCGTGGACAGGCGCAGTGAATGATGATATACTGGGCATCACATTTGAAGCTGTATACTTAACATGTGCACAACAGCTCACACAATGCACATGCTCCTGGCATGTTCTTCCCACATAAAAACAGAGCCTAAACCAATTCCATTTATGAACAACATAATTGTGTGTAAATTATTAAATATTTCCCTTCTTTAAAAATAACTTGAAGACATTAAACATACACGTGTAGGTACCTGCCTTTACTGCTAACGCTACAAAATAGAATACAACATTATACTGCCTCAGTAAACTCTGTACTTTATCCTCAGACAGTGAAGTACTAATTTGGGTTTATAAAATAAACGAATATCACTCACACATGTTTTCTTTTGCACTGTGATGGTGCTAAGTGACACAAAGAAAACAAAGAGAATCCTCTACATACTGACAGATGCCAAATGCTGTCTGCCATGTTTTAATATGTCAGCAAAGAAGTTTGTGGCATATATAAAATTTGTACTACAAATTTAGAGAGGTGTGAATGTGATAACCATACCATAAATAATCACACAGACACCAAAAAGGGCCTTTAATTCAACATGCCATGAAAATATTCCACTATAATTAACACAGTCACAAGTCACAAAACATATCCATGTATAGTTACTATAGGATTCTGACGATGGTGTATAACACACAGAGATATTGGGTTTTCAGACTTTATCCATCGTCCATCGTTATATGTTTTCATTGATTTCTATTAAGTTCTAGATTAGATAGAAGTGATTTACTCCATTGTTGACGCTAGTTAGACACTATTAGCTTTTTACTAGTTCTCGTTTCTATTCCATGCCTTGGTGTCATGGACCTGGTTATTAGTTTGGTTTCATGACATAAATTTCTACGGCTCTATCTATCCTGGTTCCACGCTTGTATGTGTTTGGAACAATTTGTAATATATATTTTTCTTATTAGCTCTCATGGACTTAGCCTGGTCTCAGGTATTTATAGTGTTTATAACCTTTGCGTTTTGTGACATCGGTTGTCCAGTGATTCAGGCTAGCTCTTTCTTAGGGACCCAACAGAATAGGTGTTTTTCCCTCTCATGAGGATGGAAACAGATACAGTTTCCGAAACGTCGTGTTTTTATTAGTTATCTTAAAAACCAGGATGATGGATAAAGTCCGAAAATCCAGTATCTCTGCATATCCATGTGGTTCAACCTTGGAATTATGTCTTAAGGAACTAAGATGTTTGGATGATTGGCTGCAGGCCTTACATTTATGAAGCTGTGTCTTGCTTTCGCCGCAACTGGCAGTGAAATTATCGAGGTGTCCAGGTGGGTCCTCTTGTTTCACAGACTCATCACATAAACTGGAAAAATGCATAATTTACCATCAGTTTTCACGAAGCAAAACATTACGTTAAAACAAACAGTTTCATCACACAAGAATGGTCTATGGAGAGCCAACGGAAATCTGACTGTGCCGATCAGCTAATCAGCAAGATCCCTGTTCATGTACAACTTCAAGGTTCAACACAAGAATATAAAACAAAAGAATAAAAACTGGACTGGACAGTTCTTGTCATTCAACCCATACCAAACAGAAATGGTGGAAGGGGGAGGGGCGGCTCACAGAGGCTGGTTTGAAGGTCATCACATTTATGTCACAGTGGTGACTTCTGTACCAACCAAACCAAACCTGAGCAACTAAGAAATGAGAGATCATCACTGTTAATGGCAAAGTCTACCAATAACTCTTATTGTGAGCTATTTCAATTCAGTTCAAAACATTTTTCTCTGAAGTTCCTTTTAATATTGTAGTTCCACACATGCCTAGGTCTCGCAAGTGACACCTTGTATCAAGATGATGAAGTTTGGCTCACAAACCCTGAACTTCTTGACTCGCTGAATTACAGTGAACTGCTCAGGTGCAAATCTACACTCTGGAGTATATCAGTTCCAGGATTTAAAATGTGATGGTGGTTTCCTATTTGTAGTGATGTTTGCCCTCTGAAGATGGTCAGCAGAGACCGAAACATGTAAGGGTGTTAAGTTTTCATGTAGTAATAAATTTACAGGTCACATTGGATGGAGTGATTTATATTTGTAATTAAAAATATTTTTTTCATTTCATCTTCCCTGTTACTGCACTGCTCACTGCCAGATATTCACCTGGAAAATACAAGATTTCTTTCTTCCTTAAAATTTAAAAATAAAGCGAAAAACGGCATGTCCCATCATGGGGGTAGCAAAGGTGACTGAATGGATAGACGAGACTTTACTACAATTTATTTAGGCTTTTGTCTATAGGCAGCCAGATTATATGCACCCCACGGATTCTTGTTTATTAGAATGTGGAACTACTCACTGTACATACAAACACAACATGCAAATCATAGAAAAAAGAACATGATATATCAAGACTTTCAAAACTTACGTATGTGTTTCAATATGCCCATGACATGTGCAACTTTCTTGCACAGAAATGTCATCTTCTACCTCTTCTTTAATTCCCTCAAAGTCTAAACTGTTTCCCTGTTCTCCTTTAAATGCACAGTCTGGTTCTTTCTTAATTGACACAACATCTATGTACTCCAAATGCTGTCCTGTGGCCAGTTTCATCGTATTCTCAATAGGCGCCAGACGCTGTTCCTTAAGAAAGTTCCCCTCCTCTTCAACCTCTATACGAAACATAGTATTCAGTTCAAAAATCAAACATTATATTCTTAAATTGCCTTCATAACTTTAAAGCGAGCAACAGCTGACACTTTCCAAATGTCAAACGAAGTAACAACTGACAATACTGCCAACTTCCCCTGTCGATGTCAAAATAGTGGTTCCATGCTACCAACTACCAGGATTTCTTTCGGCCAAGGCCGTAATGTGAATTTGGAGGTTACAGCAGTGGTTTTCTACAAAGGCACGCCCTGAGTATATCCCATCCCCCCTTCTTCACTATGTGCGTGTATAAAATCACACTGTTCATGCTTCGTTTTTAAAAATCAACAAAGCTTAGATATTAATTAACTGATAACATTTTTCAAAATTTTACAAATGCCCAAGATTAAAGAATCAGTCTCTGCCTCTTTGAGACATAATCAATTCGATTTCACCACACAGCTTTCGCACATCAAAATATTATTTGCACTAACACGATTTGGATATACTGGTGGGGGGAAAGGTGACTGCTCGCTCGCTAGTGACCTACGTAACTAACATATGTTCATGCAGCATGCTGACGCTTGAGAATCCTTACTTCATTTGTTTTACAAACGTAGTGATACGCTTCTATATGAATAAGAAAATTATCTGCCATCACTTCTCGGTAACGACGTGTCCGCACCCCCTCCACTGTTCATCCAATCACGGGTCCGCCTCCGGCACACTGCCTAATGCGAGATCTACACACGAGCTTCCAACCCCTCCCACTTCCAAGGGATTAACTCTGAAGATGGTAAAAGCAAAGTTTTGTCACTACTTTGACGAAACGTCTACGCCAAGGGAAATGCAAGCAGGGGTGCCACAAGGTTCGGTCCTGTCCCCTACTCTTTTCAAGTAAAAGTAAGTAAAGTAAAAAGTAAAGCTATCCCTGTAAGAGGTTGTGAAGGCCCATAGGGTTGTAAGACATTGAGGGTCCCATGTACGTAAATGATGCCCCCCAAACTAATGGCGTTCATCTAGCCCTCTTTGCATGCCACACCTGTCTGTATGCGACAGATCACAAAGAGGGTTCTGTTGTTAGGAAACTCCAGCGCGGTCTCAGCTCAATGGAGACCTGGTGTGAGCGCTGGAATATTGAAATTAAAGAAGATAAGACTCGAGGGGTCTACTTCTCTCGTGGTCGTCGTCCACCTGTGTCTCATCTTTGGAAGAAATATTCAATTTGCAAAAAATAGTGAAAAATATCTCGGGGTAATCTTCGATAAGAGGGTTACATGGAGACTGCACATAGAAATGAACGAAGCGAAGGCCTTCAGAACATTCATTGGAGTGTGTTCCCTATTCATAAGTGTTCTGAAGAACCCGTTCCTGGTCCGTGCAGTCCACACTCTCCGGTCATATTTCTTTAAAATCGATCTTCATATTATCGTGACACTTTGCAGAAAACGCATTGGGTTTCCATTAAAAAGATCAACTTGTTAATGATATTCCTGTTGCTGATATAATCGCTGTTTACTGTGAGAACAACACGGAACACACAAATACACTGTGTCGGCAGAATGCAGAGTTTTAGTATCTTGAAGTCCTTACCTCACAGGAAACACACTGTCTCCATAACAAATCCCAGCCGGTTAATGCTGTTTAGGGAAACAATCGCTGTTTATTGTGAGAACCATACGGAACACATAAATACACTGTGTGGGCAGAATGCAGAGTTTTAGTATCTTGAAGTCCTTACCTCACAGGAAACACACTGTCTCCATAACAAATCCCAGCCGGTTAATGCTGTTTAGGGAAATAATCGCTGTTTACTGTAAGAACCATACGGAACACACAAATACACTGTGGGCAGAATGCAGAGTTTTCTTTAAGTAAGAGTTGGTGGTATACACAGTATAGTGACCACTGTGAGCACGCAACGAACTTGACAGAACTAGAACAAGTTCAGAAACTAGGAAAGTGGAGTAATAACATTTCTTTTGAAAAGAAGGAAATGAGTTTTTTATGATGGTGAATCCTCAGACAAAGAAAGGCAGACCTTTCTTTTCGCGAAATACCGCATATATCCTTGTCGGGACATGTAACTGGGTTCAAATCTCGCTGTTCTACAGCCAGCATCGCCCACTTCCCAGCACTAAGCTCGTACTGGCCGGCGGATCTCCGAGATGTGTCATGTCTTTGACCTGCATACTCTTTGGGCAGGTGTCTTTGACCTGCATTCTGAAATTAAATTTTGATTCAGTTCTGTTTGAACCTCCGAGCAGGACAGTTGCATGAGCAAGAGGTGCTTGTTCATGACGTCAGGTGGATGTGTACGTGGGATTATGCCTCTCTGGGAGTGACAGCTGTATTGCCTTAAACTAGTGTCCGCTACTGACAATGTCTGCTTCGAGAGCGTCCTGCCTTCCCAGGGTAAGTAACAATGTCAATCTACACAGGCATCTTGCTGAAGTCGAAATTCTCTTGCAAGAAAATTGTGTATAATAAAGATCGTCTATAAGATAATTCCAAATTTATAAAATTATTATTATTATTATTATTATTATTATTAAATTTATTTTCTAGAATGCTTACCTATATCTATAGCCTGCAATAGACAAGCACTATAAAATGTAATGTTGTCAGAACACAAACTACATACAGTGTTAATATAAGAAATAACTTAGCCAGGATTATACAGGTAAAGCTATTCCTGTAACAGGCCGTGAAAGTCCATAGGGTTGTGAGATGTCGAGGCTCCCACATTTTCTAGACAATAGGCTCACAGACGGTGGTGATGTCAGCCTTACGCGCCGGCAGCAATTACCCCCAGGAACATTCCTGGTACTCATGTCTGTTAGACGCTGAGTTGACACCAGGGCCACTAAAGAAAGTAACACTGGACGCGTGCACGTTCTGATGACAAAGCTGATGAAATGTAACTGGAACATGAATTGCTGCAACTTGACTGTAAAGGCTCCGAGTGGCACACGCGATTCCGCCGTTCACTAAAGAAAAGATCTGGAACGAGTTACGAAGAGACAAACAAGCGACAAGTGTCAGAGCCCAGAAGGTGTTAAGGTGACTGGCGAAATTCAGCAGCCTGGCCTAGGCGTCACTGTTAAATCCTTTAAAGCCCAGTGGCAAGTATATATACCGACCCTTTAACACACTGAAACTCTGCATTCTGCCCACACAGTGTATTTGTGTGTTCCGTATGGTTCTCACAATAAACAGCGATTATTTCCCTAAACAGCATTAACCGGTTGGGCGTTCTTATGGAGACGGAGTGTGTTTCCTGTGAGGTACGGACTTCAAGATACTAAAACTCTGCATTCTGCCCACACAGTGTATTTATGTGTTCCGTATGGTTCTCACAGTAAACAGCGATTATTTCCCTAAACAGCATTAACCGGTTGGGCGTTGTTATGGAGACGGAGTGTGTTCCCTGTGAGGTACGACTTGCTATGGGATGGACGGACGAAGGATCGGCGCTCGATTTACAGCAAAGGGAAGATTTTTCTCGTCTCCACGGCAGCAACTTCGGCTCTGGTGTCCACCCGTCTCCTATCCAGTGGATTCCGAGGGTCATTTCATCCGGAGTTATATCGACCAGGGCGTGAAACTAATCACTCACCTCCATCTAGTGCCGAGGTCTACAATGGTGGAGCTGAACTCCATTCCCCCATTAGTCTTCATGGTGTGGCACTTACTTAATTAATCCCCGATAGAAATTCCTATTTTCACTGCCTATGTACCATTGGCACTGTGTCGCTGTACTCGGGAGCAAGATCGGGTAAAACACAGGTCGGCTACATTTCCAGAAAATTTCACGGAACACAATATGTCTTTTGCCTGGTAACGCTTTGTATTAACTCGCTAAAGTTTTTGTAAACACGAGTCTTTAGTGAAGTTAGTAACGCGTGTCGGATTCCGTCGCACGTTTATCAGATATTCGAATATCCCGCGCATCAAAGAGTTTAGATGGCGAAAACATGACACTTTCTAAATTTTAATGTTGACGTGTGTTAAAATGGCGAAAGGTACATTCATTTACTTAGACTTAATTTATTTTCAGCTACATCTTTCAAACTCTTCACCAAAAATATTAACATATCTTTACAAGAAAAGGTGCTCAACAAAACAGTGCGAATAAGATGAACTGCGTAGCGATGCAAAGTAAAGCTGTCTCTGTGCTTAGTTCATTAAGCGCTACGCCATGACGACGTATGAAGGAGGTTTAGATCCCCGTATTCTTGGTCTCGGCACTAGACGGAGGTGAGTGAGTAGCTTCCGCCCCGGCCGTCTTAGAGAGAGCCGCTGGTACCAACTGAGGGGGCCCCACAGCCGGTCTGGACTACGTGGAGAAGAGAAGAATCTTGACCCTACCGGGAATCGAACCCTTATTCGTCGGTCGTGCAGCCCGTTGTTCGTCGCTTCGCCATTTAACTAACAATGACTTGCATTCTTTATGAGAAATGACGCTTGGAGCTAATACAATTAGCGTTGCAGTACATTATTACCAAGCAGTTGCAATTCCTAGACGGTACAGAGCCTGTTACACTGCGTAACAAAACACAGCACTGTTAAGTTCTGATGTTAATTCTACTTGAGTCTTCAGACAGTGTGGGAATGGGCACTCTTTCGGAGATGCATACTGCCTCCTTCTTCATGGTCGACACTAAAAATAACGTACCTCTACTCGATTGAGAGCAAAGATATGAACACATTCGGCTTTCTGTTAAGAACAGCCGACTAATTCCATGTTCTTCTTCAGGAACTACCAGTCGCTCGCGCCGCTTCTAAAAAAATCCGCCTTTTTATGGAACACAAATGTTCATTACCCTGTTTACAAGAGGCCAACACTGGCCCCTATCCTGAGCCAGATGAATCCATCCATATTGCTCCGTATTTCTGCAAGGCCCAGTTCAACATTTTGGACTTGAGGTTCCGAAATTTGGGACTCCACGGTGGCACATCCCAGAACACCGTACCCCTCAGTTCAATGTTGTCCCTCAAAAGCCTAGGAGTCTTCAAAAAGGCTCTTCGGGTTTTGGGACCAAAATCTTGTACCCTTTTCTAATATCCATGCTTACTGCATGATAAAGGTAAGTACAAGTAAAGCTATCCCTGTACCAGGCCATGAAGGCCCATAGGGTTGTGAGACGTCGAGGCTCCCACATTTTCTAGACAGTCGGCTCGTAGATGGCGGTGAGGCTGTCAGCCTTACTGCAACATCCTGAGGCCATTTTGGCGCAGACAAGGGAGGACCTACGCATTACCACGCTCCTCAGTGCATGTCGGGGCACTGTTACTGTAATTCTTACAATTCGGTCCAGGACCTTTTGTCTTCTCGTCTGCTGTCCAACAACGTAAAAATTAGACTATACAAAAAACGATAATTTTACCGGTGGTTCTGTATGGGTGTGAAACTCTGTCTCTGACATTAAGGGAGGAACACAGACTGAGGGTATTTGAGAACAGGGTGTTGAGGAGAATATTTGGACCGAAGAGGGATGAAGTGACAGGAGGTTGGAGAAAACTGCATAATGAGGAGCTTCATAACTTGTACTCTTCTCCAAGTATAATTAGAATGATCAAGTCTAGGAGGATGCGATGGGAAGGGCATGTAGCATGAATCGTGAGAAGATAACTGAATATTGGATACTGGTTAGGAAGCCAGAAGGAAAGAGACGACTAGAAAGACCAAGATGTAGGTGGGTGAATAATATTAAAATGGATCTTACAGATATATGATGGGGTGGTATGAATTGGATTGATATGGCTCAGGATAGGAACAAATGGGGGGTTCTTGTAATGACCCTTCGGGTTCCATAAAATATTTACAAGTTCTTGAGTGGCTGCACAATTGGCAGCTTCTCAAGAAGGGCTCAGCTCCATGAAGTTAGTTATGTTCAGTTGCCTGGACTGTAAATTCTGTTCGAACCTGGCATTGGTAGAGCATGGGTTCGAATCTAGGGCCTTCAACACTTTTAGGCACCGGCCGCTGTTGCAGGAGACCGGGGGGCTGTGGCGTCACAGAAGCGAATGCAAAGAAATGCCTATCCGGACCGCGCGGACAGACACGGGTTGCGTTCAGCGTTATTGGTTTTCAGTTCCTTCGTTTTAATGTGTCTGTACGCATGATCGGTTAACGTTAGAATAACGGGATCGAGCCTGAAGATTCCCTCGGTTCAAGTTCTGTTGGGATCGGCACGCCCTGGGGCGACAAGGCCATGTACATCTGACGAGAGGCAATGTTACCCGATGCTGAACATCACACTCACAAAGCCCAACATGTTCCGTGAGTGAACATTTCTTTGTAAAACTCAAACACTGTGCTTCAGGTAAACAAACGGTTCCTCCACGCCTTAGCTACTGTACATGTTGAACACAACGTAGGTTTGACAGCATAACCATAGCGAAAACACTATTACTTTCATGTCCTGAAAGTACCCACCCCTTCTGTCGTGATCTCCAATAAATTTAAATATGTTTCCTGCTTTCCGAGCTTTAGATGAATCTTATGCAGTAACCAGCGCTCGATTGCCCTAGGCCAGTAATTCTTAACACTATTAAATACGTACAACAAATCCCTTTCATGAAATGCTGCCCTTAAAGAAGGGGGAGGGCGGAAATACAGCCGAAATCTGCACAGAATTTAAGAACATTCTGCAAAAAAGCGCCTTCTAAAACGAGTATATAGATAGAACTGTCTTGTTTCCTTCCACGGACCTGACAGAAAACATCCAAATGATATTATGAAATTCACTGCTCAATCTTACCAATAGGTACGGTAGCCACGGCTGTTAAAGCGAGGTGTAAGTGTTGCGGCGGGGGTTTCGGGTGCGATTAGAATCCCCATTCCCAGGTTTTTCTTAACTACACGGGTAGAATTTAATTTCTCAATCTGAGGGGTATTGTTGCTTTTAAATTTCAGATCCCATTTAACATTCTATTGACTAGGATATAGGCCATTGGCCGGTCTTGTGATCAAGATAATGAAGTTTCGGCGTTATGAAGGTGGGAATTTCTTGGCCAGATGAGCAACTGCCAGCTTCTAAATAAGAACTATGCTCCGTACTGTCAGTTAGTGTCAGTTAATTAGTGAAGAGTAATGTGTCAGAACTAAAGATCATCACATTTACAGAGGCAGAGTTTCCTGATGACAGAGACACTGTACTGGTCCTTTAAGCGGACTGCACCCTTAAGGTTCGCCGTTTGGATTGTTATAAGTATTTCCCTTCTTCCATGTGCTTGCTACATGACTTGCCCAGCTCGCACTGTTTGATTTGACAATGTTGATAATATTTGATGGATAATGCAAATTGTGAAGCTTCTCACTGTGCAGTTTAACCCAGTCTCCTGTCACGTCCCTTGGGTCAAAGTATTGACCTCAGTGCCCTGTTCTCTAATAGCTTCACGCTCTGCTC